GCCTTAGGCTAGGATACTTAATTGTATTAGAACTGGTCAAGCAATTTGTTGTCTTCAAATGATATTCGTTGATCAATTCAGAGTTGCATATATCACGATGGAGAGATTTAATGATATGAAAATATTGATTTATTTCACATTTTTACTTGCATCCTTGTCATCTTTAGATTCTGTTTCTTCATCATACAAATATTTTTCACTTACTTTCGTTATCAACTGTTCTAAATAATCATCAATCGAGGAAGAAAATGATTGTTTTATTTGATTGGAAAATAATCTCTATTCTTGCTTAGGTGAATCTTGATTAAAATTTGAAATTTTTCTAATTTTATTGATAAATAAATCGACTAATATCCTGACCAATACAAAGACAAATACCAAGTTTCAAAAGTAACAAAATAACTGTATTTAAAATATTTTAGGTCAGCCCCCCATGTTCGAGCTAGCAGAAGACGAAATCGAAGTTGGAATGGGAATTCATGGGGAGGCTGGATATGGAAAAATGAAATTGCAATCCTCGAGCGAAACAATTTCATTCATGCAGGAACACATATGCAAGGCCTTGTCTTTGAAAAGTGGAGATTCAGTTGCAATTATTGTTAACAATTTTGGAGCATTGAGCCAGTTGGAACAAGGAATTGCTGTTCACGACGTGGTCAAGCAACTTCGTGAGTAAAAATCAAGAACACCGTGCATGTGTTTGTCTTAAACTATTATTTATTAACAGAAACATATTTATCGATGGGATTTAAATATCTGTGATTCTGTTGGATGACCAACAATTTATTATATATGTTTATAAAAATGGCTTAAAGTTACGTTAAATATTCGAACTATTAAACAGAATTTAATACTGGTAAATTGGTAGCAAGTGGTGGATAATGAACTAAGTTGAATTCAAAGTTGATCAAGAATTTTTTCCATTTTATCGCATGATTAAATACTTGCAGTTAGAATCTGTAGACAGTATCACATAGAACAAATTTTGTGCAGGAATTTATAGCCATTTATGTAGGATCGCGTTTGGGTGGATTGTCTAAAATAGCGTTGTTTGCTTTGTAATAGAATACAATAAGCTGATACAAAGAATATTGGCTAAGAGAGATTCGCTCGACTTGGGC